AAAAAGAAAAAAAACAAAAAAAAAAAAGCCACCGGTTTAGCGGTTTTTTCCAGAGGCACGCAGCTGCTGCTGCAGGTGATCTAGACGATCCCGCCGTACTGCACCCAATTTTATAGGGGGGTGCCACTTCTCCAAGGTCTGATCATGCTGCTGCAGTACATGCTGGTCGTTACCTTCTTATTTTTGGTGGGGGCTCACATGCGACATGTTTCAATGATCTTCATGTTCTTGATCTTCAAACTGTAAGATACATATGATTTATTTTTTAGTTAAGTTCCCAGTCAGTACTTCTTTAATTTCACAAGTTTTTATTCATGTTTTGAATATGTTATAGATGGAATGGTCGAGACCAACCCAACAGGGTGAGATACCTAGTCCTCGTGCTGGCCATGCAGGTGTGACGGTTGGAGAAAATTGGTTCATTGTCGGTGGCGGGGACAACAAAAGTGGTATGGATTGGATACGTAATTTAGCTATTGACATTGAGAATATTAATGCTTTTTATTTGAATATATGAATTCTTTAATAAATTTATATAGACACTAGATGAATGCTTTTCTTACATTATCTGGTATTTGTGTGAACTTGATATGCTCGGTAGTGAAACTTCCATAAAGACCCTTAGTTTTATCCATTGCATGAAGAAACTGAAGGTCTTAAATTGGAACAACCAGATCACCAATTAAAATTTTTGAATCTAAAAGTATTTGAACTGGTTCCAATTTCTTTTAACTGTATAATATTTGTGTAGAGGTCATAAAATTCAAGATGTGCTTACTAGCGAAAATGGAGCAGCTTCACTTTTTCGTTTCTCTGTAAATCATGTTAGATGTACTTTACGTTACCAGATTAATTTTGTAAAGGAAGTGGAGTAATATTCAATACCGAAATTTCAGACTAGAACCGAGATGGACTTGAGAAAATAAACATTAGAATGATTGTACAATCTACATACACGGATCTGTACCGAATTAGATTTGGCATTTGCAGCCAAGTGCATAGAATCATCCGAGAGAAAACTATTTGTCTCATTGCAGTACTGCACTACCCACCATTTGTATACCAATCTAATAACTATATGAAAGCCACAGTTGTTTTCGTTTTCAGTCATTTCTCTCCCCTCACCCCAACTTTTATAGTCTTTATTATATGGTTACAAAGCTGTTCTTTGAAGATATTATAATCTCCAATGTGTCAGTGCACTACTTTGTTATGAAGATGTTTATTATTTTGAAAGTTTGAATCCACTAGCTTTTATCAAGGAAAAATTGTGATATCCTAACGTGCTTGATTCACAACCCTGATATTCATATATTCATTTAGTTAGGAAGTCTGATGATGTTATATGTTTGTTTCCAGTTTCGCTATTCATTGTAGGTTGACTCTCATGGACATGATCCAATTTCACAATACTTGTCTGATTATATTCCTTGTTTGTTAAAGGAAGCTTTTATTCATTTGTATCAACATTCAACTTTTCTCATATGCATGCAGGAGTCTCTGAGACTGTTGTACTTAACATGTCCACGTTGGCCTGGTCTGTTGTAACTACTGTCCAAGGACGTATTCCTCTTGCCAGTGAGGTAACTAATTTGTTGAAACTGAAAATGCTCTATCTTATCCTCCATGTTCTATAGATATGCTCCATCTTGATCTTCTAAGATGAATTAGTTAAACAATGGAGTCTGTTACCAGTATCTTTGGAGGCATTGATCTTATCTTTATTGAATGCACGATATTGGAGGAAAAGTGTTATGCATTTTAAAAATGGGAAAGTATGCGATGTCTCAGCTGACGAGAACCCGTACACGTGGCTAGATGATATATTGTTTGGTACCACTGAATTCAGTCTTTTGTATTGCAGAAATTCATCGTTTTTATTTGGATTATTCATGTAAAGTTTTTTTAACTGTCATTTACCCTGACCAACTTGGCTAGTTTATCTGTAGTTCTTTTCCCTAAGATGATGACTCGCCTGTTTATGTGAATTGAGGGTCTGTTTGATATAAATGGAGAAATATATAAACGTGTCTATTATATCGTCAAGGATAATTTACTATTCTTTTGTGCTTCCAAGTTCCGGTTGATGGATGATTTTTGAAATGATTTCATGAAGCTAGTAAAAGGTTATTCTGGAACGAACATCATACACTGGAGTTCTGAACTAATTTAAAATTTAGTGTTTCATCATCCAATAAAAAATGTCCCAGATTCTGCTACATTTGAGTAAGCTATACCTGAAACCAAGATTTTCTAGCACATATTTGGAAGACCGCAACTTTTAGTAACTCGTGATATACAATACTTATTTCATTTTAAGAACATTTAAAAGTGATCTCTTCCGTTTGATGATTTTGTGAAATGGCACTTAAGAATCAAGAAATTAAATGAGCCTGTTCAGGTACATTCAACCAAAGTTGTCCTGTTTTTCATTCATTAACTAAATATACTTCTGTTCACAGGGTTCAAGTTTGGTCCTTAGTTCCTACAGCGGCGAAGATATCCTGGTATCATTTGGAGGATATAATGGGAGGTACAACAATGAGGTCTGGATAACCCTTTTCTCTTTTCCTTTTCGACTCTGCAAGAGTTTCATAAGTTCAATCCCTCAATTTGACTTTGATTACTGCCATTAGGTAAATGTACTTAAACCAAGCCATAAGTCAACTTTACAACCCAAGATGACGGAGACACTGGTGCCTGATAGTGTATCAGCAGTTCAAAATGTTACAAATGCCACAAGAGATGGGGACTCTGAGTTAGAGATGGGCCAGGAAGGAAAAACAAGGAAAATTGTTACTGACGTTATTGTTGCTGAACCTCAGGTAAGCATAACAAGCATAAATGCTTAGTTGTTCACCAGTTCATTCTATGTATTCTGATAGTCAGAGAGAGCTACTAAGTATAGTACATCCTATTAAACTTCTTAATTGGAACCAATGTGATAAACCAGTATTTTCGATGTTTACAGTGATTTGGTAACTTTTTCTTGTGATATGTGAGAATATGAAAAATATATCATTATGGAGTTCAGTATGCCTACCATGATGACTAAAGTGACATAAAAATGACGGGTTAACTAACTATGGATATTGAAATAGAATCTACAAAATTATGTTAGGAGTTTTCAGTATCTTTGTTGTTTTAAACTTAATGCCTACATTTCACTCTTCTATTTACGAATGTGAATTTTCCATGAAAAGATGACTGATTAGAGTTCTTTTTATCACAATTGTATTCTTGAAAAGGTTGAACTCAAACTTTATATCTTCTTTAATAGAGATCTGATGTCATTTATGTGCCGTTTCTTTCTTAAAAATCTTGTATATAGATTGCAGTGAGAGTGACATATATTCAAACTAACTATTTATCTTTCAATACTTGCTATTGTAAAGATGATTATCTTTTTTCTTTAATCCGGAGTTGTTTCTGAAATGTTTTCATTTAAAAAATATTCGCTAACCTAGTTGCTGCAATTTCTCTTCGTGAAGAACGTCTAAGTTGTATCGCTGTGTTTTGCAGATTATTAAAGCTGAAGAGACAAAAGAGCGTCTTTTAGCAGCCCTTAAGGCAGAGAAAGAAGAACTTGAACTGTCTCTCACCAAGGAGAAAACTCAGACACTCAAGTTAAAGCAAGAGTTGACAGAAGCAGAAACTCGCCACACAGACATGTACAAGGTAACTCTTCTGTTATTTCTAATATCTATTTTTGGAGTGGTAGACCTAACCCCCAGGTGGCGAAATTATCAGAAATCATTTTGAAATCAGATCCGAGTAGCAGATTTCCGTGCCAAAATAGAAAATAAGAATAAGAATTGGCTTTTATTGAAATTGTTTTCTACATTTTAGTCTCTTATTCTACTAAAAATTGTTAAATCTTCACTCGATCGGGCCGGAGAGCAAAAATAGCTGATTTTAAGACCTGCTATTTCTTGAAAAAGTTCGTGCAACATGGGCATTGGATAACTGGCAAAAAAGGGTTTATGCAGTTACTAGATATTGACCACGGTATTGTTCGTTCACCACTCAAGGACAATGTTCTGGCTATGGTTAAGCAGGTAGCATGATCTAGGTATCGAACTTGTATTTGTCTATATATGGAACTGAACTGTAGAGTATTTGGGATAGGCAGGAAGTTCTGATTTTTATGCAGTTGTAGGAACATATTTAAGCAAGTTTATCTAAGAACTTACAGAATGGATGAGACTTCAGTCGAGAACTGAAGACAGTCTAGAACTGAAGACAGTCTAGAACTGCACATGCTTCTAAAGATGCAAATAATATGCATATAAAGTTAGGTTCACTTGAGCGCAAGTGTTATATATCCGCAATTAGTCTAAACTTCAATCAATTAACTTTGTCTAAAAAAAATGATACATCATTTTGCAGGAACTCCAATCCGTCCGAGGGCAGCTTGCCGCTGAACAATCCAGATGTTTCAAACTCGAGGTCTGTATGACATCAGAAATTAATTCCAATTCTGAAATGCATTGTTTGATTGGTGAATATTGGTACAGAAACTGCAAGTTTATTCAAGAAATTTAGTGTCACACTGTATGCATGTTTGTGAACCATATTTGATTATATGCTGTGTTGGGATCGTCTTTATTTCCTTAGCTTGAGCCTGAAGTTTCCTGCATTTGGGGCGTTATATTTGGTGAAAAAGCCCTTGTTCGAATATGTGCCATATTTGTTCGATTTTGAATTGAACCCGAAAAGCACATGGGTTAATAATTGATGCTTGCACTAATAGGTCGATGTCGCTGAACTAAGACAGAAGCTACAAAACATGGAGACCTTACAAAAGGAGCTCGAAATCCTTCAGCGTCAAAAAGCTGCTTCTGAACAAGCTGCACAAAATGCAAAAGAAAAGCAGAGCTCAGGTGGCGTATGGGGCTGGCTCGCTGGAACACCTACCGAAAAATCTGACGATGAGTGATACAGTTTTTCATGCGTATTGATTTCCGTTATATTTATACGTCTCATATTCCAATTTCTTTTTTCTTCTTCCCTTTTCTTTTTTGGAGCAAATAAGAAGATACCGAGTTATACATGTCAGAAGTTGAGTTGTGTAGAGGTTAAGGAGGTGTGGTTTAGTTGTTGATTTGACAGTGTGACTTTTCGACGGGACTTTTTTCGTGTACCTAGATTAACGGAGTGGAAGTATAGATATTGATGAGGTACTGGAATGGTTGAACAGTTTCGAAGTTATATCTGGTTGCAATCATGTTGAGTACTTGTGATTTAATGTATGCGACAGTTTTTACGTATACCGGCTGCATGTTATATATTTCAGATATTATGTTTGCAGATGAAATTTGATTCGTCGTTGGTGCTCGCTCAGACAACAATGGATTTTTACGTAAAATTTCAGTTTTGTGACGTCTTACATCACATAGATATTCATAAAATAGATTTAAAAAAAAAGGATTTTTCGGCAATTTGGATAGTTGTACTTGATTTCGTAAGTTTCAACGGACAATGTCCGTAAAAATTTTCACATTGTTAAGACGAGTGTTATTGATCAAAAAGTACTCAATCCTTCAATCCTCCGAAGAGGGATGATGACATCGCAAGCTACATTGTAAGAACTATGTGGACTTTAATTCCATACGAGGATACGTAGACAACCTAGTCTTAAGTTCGAAAAAAATAAAATAAAAAAGAATTTCAACCTTAAATCAAGGTCAAGTCTTTTTATTTATTAATTTTCCTTTAAGTTACATATATTTTTAGCAATTGGCATTGAACTAGCAATTTGCTGGTTCTTCTACCAGCACGGAAGTCGGAATCGGTCATTTTCTATGATGGTTACGAATCATACTCGGAACTGTAACCATGTCTAATGTAGCCCTCTCTAACTATTGGTCTATTAGTAATTTAGTAATGACAAATATACATTACAATCTGACTAGATTTATTGGTCACAACTTTCATCTGGATACAAATTTTTGGCAAACAAGTAGTAGAACATCATCAAACAATCAAAAGTACAGTGGGGTACTAAGTACTAACCCCCTTATTCATTGCTAGAATAAAATTCAAACACGCAACACACACATAGCACACCCATAATAATAATATTTTAATTTCACGGCTTATCTAGAAACCGTCGAGCTATTCTTCCATTTCCTCCCTTCGGAAAGAATCCCCCGGGGACACACTCGCTGCCGGTGCCATAAACAATCCTTAGTATCTCCGGCGGAGTTCTGCTGTACGAGAGTGAGTTATAGTCCGCTGACAATACGTTGCGTTCGGTCCGATTCTCTGCCCCGAGAAATGGAGGTACTATAATTCCTTCATCCTTTATTCCACATCTCGCCAAACGGTTTCTCAATTCCGATATTCGAATTGTGAACTCCGCCACCGTGTGATTGTACGGGTGCACCACCTTTGCCGCCCGTTCATATAGGTACTCTCTTATAACTGCATCTTGCCCTGCTTCCACTCCCATTAATCCTACCAATAGCTGCCATCCATTCCCATCATGCATTAAATGATTTTCATTTTCATTTCATAGTGATAACAAATCCAGTTAATATTTATAATTTCTTTTTACATGCTTTATAGTACTTATATGCCAAAATATTTGTGGAAATGTACTAATAAAAATAATAAATATGCATTAATTCTAGAAAAAAATAATAATATGAATCATTAATTGTTTCACCATTAATTCAACTTATCAATTAATTAAGAGTAATAAGGGTAAAATTGAGAAAAGTACAATAAATGCATCATTTTAAATGTAGAGACACAAATAATTTCAAACCATGTTTTTTTTTCCGTCTAAAAAACGACAAATAATTTAGCATGGAGGCAACATAACTTTAATTTTTATATAAGTATCCCGAGAATTGAAAAAAATCGTCGTAAAAAAAAGCCCTTTTAAGGATACATGTTCTCGACAATGTACATAAAGTTAGTTGGGATCTCAAAATAACGTATCGAGATAAAAAGCTTTAAAAGTTAAATGTAGACAACTAACTAACCCGTTTGGAAACATAGCCAATCAATTTAGGATTAGTGCCCACATAGCCAAGTAATCCTACATACGGAACGACATAAGAAGCCAACATGTAGCTTAAGCTGTTACGGTATGGGTTGAAAGGCGGTACTAATTCGTAACCAAATGCTTCATTGAATATATT